ATTTGCTCAAACTTTTGAACACACCACTGGCTTCCTCTCTTTTCTCAGTGTCTGTATATATATGTGTGTGTGTGTGTGTGTGTGTGTGTGTGTTTGTTGAAGCAAAATTTCTTAGATCTACTTCTCTGAGCAAGTCTCAAAATTTATTACTCATTAATGAGGGAGTTCTCATTGCCATTGAGTCAATTCCGACTCATAACGACCCTATAGGACAGAGAAGAACTGCCCCATAGAGTTTCCAAGGAGCAGCTGGTGGATTAGAACTGCAGACCTTTTGGTTGGCAGCCAAGTTCTTAACCACTGTGCCACCAGGGCTCCAGTGAAGGAATTAGCAGTCAAATAATTCCAGGCAAATTCAAAATGACAAGGAAGAAGACTAATTTAAATACATAGTGTTTTTAACTAGGCATGAACTCCTATTTGAATTCCTATGGTCATTAAAATATTAAATTTAATATCGGTTGTTGTTGTTGTTGTTAGATGCCGTCGAGTAGATTCCAACTCATAGCGTCCCTCTGTACAGCAGAACGAAACCCTGCCTGGTCCTGCGCCATCCTCACAATCATTGCTATGTTTGAGCCCATTGTTGCAGACACTGTGTCAACTGACCCTCACTGACCCTCTACTTTACCAAACATGATGTCCTTCTCCAGAGACTGGTTCCTTCTGATAATGGGGATGGTGCTGGACAAGGAAGCATTTTGTTCTGTTGTGCATGAGTCAGAGGCTGACTCAACAACAGTTAATGACTGAATAACATGGTAGTTATGTTTTATTTTTAACTACATTTATTTAAAACATTTATTTAAATTACTACCTTATTTTAAACAAGGCTCCAAGAATTGACAAAATAGCAATTGAGATGTTTCAACAAACGGATGCAATGCTGGAAGCACTCACTCGTCTATTCCAAGAAATTTGTAAGACAGCTACCTGGCCAAGTGACTGGAAGAGATCCATATTTGTACCCATTCCAAAGAAAGTTGATCCAACAGAATGCAGAATTATCAAACATTATCATTAATATCACGCACAAGTAAAATTTTGCCGAAGATCATTCAAAAGTAGTTGCAGCAGTACATTGACAGGGAACTTCCAGAAATTCAAGCTGGATTCAGAAGAGAACATGGAATGAGGGATATCATTGCTGAATCAGATGGATCTTGACTGAAAGCAGAGAATACCAGATAGATGTTTACCTGTGTTTTATTGACCATGCAAAGGCATTTGACTGTGTGGATCTGTCTTAGTCATCTAGTGCTGCTATAACAGAAATACCACAAATGAATGGCTTTAACAAAGAGAAGTTTATTCTCTCACAGTCCAGTAGGCTAGAAGGCTGAATTCAGGGTGCCAGCTCCAGGGGAAGGCTTTCTCTTTCTGTTGGCTCTGGAGGAAGGTTCTTGTAATGCATCAGTCTTCCCTTGGTCTGGGAGCATCTCAACACTGGAACTTCTGGTCCAAAGGACTCTCTCTGCTTGCAGCACTGCTTTCTTGGTGATATGAGGTCCTCCTCTTTCTCCATTCACCTCTCTCTCCTACATCTCAAAAGGGATTGGCTGAAGACACTATCCAGTCTTCTAGATCTCATCAATATAACTTCCACTAATCCATCTCATTACATTATAGTAATAGGATTTACAACACATAGGAAAATCACATCAGATGACAAAATTGTAGACAATCAGACAATACTGGGAATCATGACCTAGCCAAGTTGACAGATATTTTGGGGGGACACAATTCAATCCATGCCAGGATCATAACAAACTATGGATAACATTGCAAAGAATGGGAATTCCAGAACACTTAATTGTGCTCATGTGGAACCTGTACATAGACCAAGAGGCAATCATTTGAACAGAACAAGGAGGATACTGAATGGTTTAGATCAGGAAATGTGTGCATCAGAATTGTATCCTCTCACTATACTTATTCAATCTGTATGCTGAACAAATAATCTGAGAGGCTGGACTATATAAAGAAGAGTGCGGCATCAGAATTGGAGGAAGACTCATTAACAACTCGTGATATGCAGATGACACAACTTGCTTGCTGAAAGCAAAGAAGACTTGAAGAACTTATTGATTAAGATCAAAGACTACAACCTTCAGTATGGATTATACCTCAACCTAAAGAAAACAAAAATCCTCTCAACTGAACTAATAAGCAACAATAATGATAAACAGAGAAAATATTGAAGTTGTCAAGAATTTCATTTTACATTCCACAATCAACGCCCATGGAAGCAGAAGTCAAGAAATCACCCATGTATTGTGTTGGGCAAATCTGCTGCAAAAGACCTCTTTAAAGTGTTAAAAAGCAAAGATGTCACTTTGAGGGCTAAGGTGCACCTGACCCAAGCCATGGTATTTCCAATTACCGCATATGCATGTGAAAACTGGGCAATGAATAAGGAAGAACGAAGAAGAATTTGAATTATGATGTTGGTGAAGAATATTGAATATATCATGCACTGCCAAAGAATGAACAAAGCTGTCTCAGAAGAAGTACAGCCAGAATGCTCCTTAGAAGCAAGGATGCAGAGATTTCATCCAAAGTACTTTGGATGTGTAATCAGGAGGGACCAGTCCCTGGAGGACATCATGCTTGGTAAAGTAGAGGGTCAGTGAAAAAGTAGAGGGTCAGTGAAAAAGTAGAGGGTCAACCAAATGGGTTGATACAGTGGTTGCAACCATGCCCTCAAACATGGCAATGATTGTGAGGATAGCGCAGGATGGCAGTATTTTGTTCTGTTGTACATAGGGTTGCTATGAGTTGGAACTGACTCAACACACTGTCATGAATTGAATTGTGTCCCCCCAAAATATGTGTATCTATTTGGCTGGGCCATGATTCCCAGTATTGTGTGATTGTCTACCTTTTTGTCATCTGATGTGATTTTCCTATGTGTTGTAAACCCTATCACTATGACGTTAATGAGATGTATTAGCACCAGTTATACTGATGAGATCTACAAGATTAGATTGTGTCTTAAACCAATCTCGTTTGAGATATAAAAGACAGAAGCAAGCAGAGAGACATGGGACCTCATACCACCAAGAAAGCAGCGACAGGAGCAGAGTGGGTAATTTGGACTGGAGGTTCCTGTGCAGAGAAGCTCCTAAACCAGAGAAAGATTGATGACAAGGATCTTCCTCCAGAGTTGACAGAGAGAGAAAGCCTTCCCCTGAAGCTGGTACCCTGAATTTGGACTTCAAGCCTACTAGGCTGTGAGGGAATAAACATCTGTTTGTTAAAGCCATCCACTTGGGTATTTCTGTTACAGCAGCACTAGATGATTAAGACAGGCACCTAATGACAACATAGATTATTAATTCTTTTTTTTTTTCTAAATATAATGGGTACATTCCATTCCTGTCATTATTTATTTTAATTGTCAAATTGGTTCACTGGTTTTTATCTCGTTTTGACATGCCTCCATCAGTTTTTGAGCGCTTCCTTATTTTCTGTGTAAGATGTTCCAGGCTCACCTTATACTTTTCTTATTCCAGCCCTGGAATCATTCATTTCTCTAAGAAGCCTAGGCTCTTTTTAGTAGAGAATAGCGTTTAGAGATGTGGGCACTAAATGTGCTCTTTGCTACTTCATTGTTACTGCTTTTAGGGCCTTTCAGTGTACAGAGCTAGGAAATATATTTCTTTTTTTGTCATGTACTTAAAATATTTTCCTATTTAGAATTATATTTTCAGTATCAAAAACCAAACCAGTTGCTGTGGAGTCATTTTTGACTCATGGTGTTTCAAAGTAGAACTGTGCTCCATAGGATTTTCAATGGCTGTTACTTTTTGGAAGTAGGTCACCAGGCCTTTCTTCCAAGGTGCCTCTGGGTAGATTTGAACCTCAAACGATTCAGTTAGTATATATATTCCCAGAATTTAAATGATTAGTTTACAGGATATCAATATTTTTTGAGACTATTGATCTGTATTATAAACTTATTTTCCAAAAATTTTGATTATGTGAGGGCACCTGTTTTGCTATATGTTTACCAGAATTAGTCTCATTTTTTTTCTTTTTGAAATTTTAACAGCATTATTTTGAAATTTGAATTCCTTATTCCTTTATTATCAGTTATCTTAGTCATCTAGTGCTGCTATAACAGAAATATCACAAGTGAATGGCTTTAACAAAGAGAAATTTATTCTCTCACAGTCTAGGAGGCAAGAAGCCTGAATCCAAGGTGCCAGCTCCAGGGGAAGGCCCTCTCTCTCCATTGGCTCTGGGGGAAGGTCCCTGTCATCAATCCTCCCTGGTCAAGGAGCATTTCAGCACAGGGACCCTGGGTCCAAAGGACAGGCTATTCTCCTGGCTCTTGTTGCTTGGTGGTATGAGGTCCCCATGTCTCTCTGCTCGCTTCTCTCTTTTATATCTCAAAAGAGATAAGCTTAAGACACAACCTAATCTTGTAGATTGAGTACTGCCTCACTAATATAACAGCCCTAAACCCACCTCATTAACATCATACAGGTAGGATTTACAACACAGAGGAAAATCATATCAGATGACAAAATGGTAGACAATCACACAATACTGGGAATCACGGACTAGTCAAGTTGACACACTTTTTGGGGGGACACAATCCAATCCATAACGTCAGGGAAATTTAGCATCTTTCTATTTGTATTTCTTTTTTGGTGAATTAACTATGCTAGTCCTTTTTTGTTTAGCATTTGCAGTATTTCAAGATTCCTCCCCCCCACCCCTTTTGTTGTCTTTTTGATTAGACATTGTGCATACTTAACCTGTGGACTTTGTTTTATTTAACTTAGTAGACTTTTGTCAGTGAAACACACTGGCAATTTTTTCCAAGTTAATAATTAGCCATAAATTCTGCAATGGAATCATATAAAAACAAATATGCAGTATATCAGAAATTGATTAAACAGGTTACTTTTTTACTTAGTGTCAAAGCATAGTATAAAAACTTGATTTTCTGCAGTCACACTACTCTCTTTGTAAATGTGATTTCTGTAAAAATGAAACAGTTAAAACTTACAGGTTTTGTTGTTTTCTTGTCCTTTTTGACTGAATTCCTAACACTGCCCACAAAGCCTCCGGATATAGGTAAGAAATTTTCTTGTATATTAGCTAAGGAATGACTAAAGCTGGAATAATTTTTTTTTCTTTCAATTTAATTCTTCACTTGCTTTTTCTTCCTCCATCTAGTTTGTATATACTAGTCAGGTATTTCAAAATAACCTTCCCAGAATTTGTGTCTTGGTGGTCATGTTATCCATTGTGACCATATTACCACTGACCCAATGTGTATGGTTTATGGTAACAGTGAGAAATACATATCAGTTGGGATTTTTCTGGATCCTTTGGTTGTATCTCCCAACTAAATGGTAAACACCTTGACAGTATGTAGGACCCATTTCCTTTGTGTAGTTTGTGTGTAGAAAGACAGCTCCTGCAAGCCTTGCTGAGGCAGTGTCAGCTTGGAGAAAGGGTAACTTTTATATTTCTTCCACCTAAAGAGGGTACACTTGGAGCATTATCTGTCCAGAGAAGATGTCTTTTTGTACTCCCTCTGGCCTGGAAGGGCTTCTTTTTGTAACTTGAACAAATTGACTGTAAGTATCACAGTGGCCCTGAAGATGGGGGTTGTGTCTTACTCAATTTGACATCCCCCACAGTGTCTGTTAGTGAGACCAGTCACAGCGTTTAAAGAAGAGTGGTTATTCTTGAGTTCTCCATCTTCTTTGTCCCTTATAACAAACTGTTGCAAAATTCTACTAATTTTTATCTCTTTAATATCTTTTGCATCCATGTTTTCCTTTTCATACCTATTACTTCTGCCAAAATTCAAATTCTCCCAATTTCACAGCAGAACAATTGGAAAAGTTTCCTAATGGCCTTCTTGATTTTTTTCCACACATCTGTGCGACAGATAGTTATTGTCTCTTTGTTTGCCAGGCACTTGGGGATACCTGATGTATTAGATATACCACTACCTGACTGATATTTTTTAATGCATAGAAATGATCATATTACTATCCTGTATAAACATTTTCAATGGCTCTCCATGTCTTCCAATTGAAGCCCAAACTCCTTAGCTTTATATTTAGGACCCCCATAATCTGGACCCAGGATCTTTCCATGCTTAGGTCCCATTATTTTTCCATCAAAATGGATTAATCATCTTTCCCCAAACAGATCCCAAGATTTCTTACCTTTGTATTTTTATTCACTTAAAATTATCTCCACACAGAAAAACATGGCTCCTTATTTCTCTGCTAGGTGAAATTTTACACATTCTTTCAGACTCAACTCATATGCCACTCCTGCTATAATCCTTTTCTGATCACTCACCCAAGGATCATAAAGCATTCCTATCATATATTTCCATTTGCCCTTTCCAAGACACCTCTGGGTAGACTGGAGCCTCCAAAGTTTCGGTTAACAGCTGAGTGGGTTAACCATTCGCACCACTCAGGGACTTGGTCTTATACTGACTCCATTCTAAATTGGATTATAGCCATGTACACAAGTCACTTCTATTGTAAGAGTGCTTAGCAACCTGGGGTTCAGGGGAGATATTTCAGTCATCGTTGATTGCTTCATAGTGTCCAGCCCAATACTTTGCAAAAAGTAGGGAGTCCATAAATACAGTCTATGTGGATAAATGTAAATCACTCTGACTAGTATATACCCACTGGGGAAAAATCAATGATTTTAGGATAGTTGGGAGATCACCTAAGTATCTGTGTCTGGCTCGCACTTTAAACTATGCTGACCACCAGTATGGTATGACATCATCTGTGAGGCCCTGTTATGCCATTCTGTCCCATATTAGCGAATCTTCATATTACTTCTCTAATTATAAATAATATATTATACTTAACCTGGACCGAATCAAACTCAGTTGCTGTAAGTCAGTTCTGACTCACGGTGACCCTGTGTGTGCAGAGTAGAACTGCACCCCATAGGGCTTTCATAGCTGTGACCTTTCAGAAGCACATCACCAAACCTTTCTTCCAAGGTGCCTCTGGGTGGTTTCAAACCACCAACATTTTGGTTAGCAGTTGAGTCCTTAACATTGCACCACCCAGGGACCTGGTAATGGTGTTTGTCATTTGTGACTGGGGAGCCTTCAATGACAAATCTGAAATCTGGTCAATTTGAGATTAATTCATGTCAATTCAGCCTAAGGAATATTTCCTGAGCACATAGTCAGCTGTGATTAAGATCTTACATGTGGTTCATATGCCTTCTTTCCTTCTTGTGAAATGTGCCAAATTATTTTCTACCATCAGTATTCTATTTTTTGTACACTTAGATGTCATATACAGGTATTTATTGGGAAAATGTAAAAAATACCAGGATATGGAATAACCTAAATATCATTACTTTTCAGACAATTTCCAAGTCACTCAGAAGTTTATAAATGATAACATTGGATATCTGTGAGTTTTTTAAGCTCTTTTTTATGATAACGCTTATTGTAGTCTTATCTGAACATTCCAAAAATGTTAATGATGAACAAATGTAATTTAATTAAATAGAAACCATTAAAAAAAAGTGAATACAGTATTAATCATAGAAGTTAGATGAGGCAGTTGAACTGTCAAAATGTAAAATTTATAGCCTTCATATTTCTTAGTCAGATAAGTTCCTGAGACTAGTCAATAAGTAGATGTTTCTATGAGGTTTTGTTGAATACAAATGGAAATTCTGCAGATGACCACCGTGTATTCTGTGTGGACTGTTGCAGCACTATCATTGCATTTGCTCAATATGTTCAGGAGGCAGCCTTTGAAGAAGTGGAAATGCTGGTAAAAGAGATGATGGAAATCAGAGATAAATGCATAGCTGACATGACACTTCCAGAATGTGCAAAATTACCTGTAAGTAAATTGCTTGCATTTCTTAACAAAAAAGCTTATTTATGAACACTGAGACATTTTTCTGGATTGAAAATATGAAAAGAGAGATGACCTATGCACCTCATTTTTATTTTGCCCGACTTTGGTGTCTTAGGATAAGACACTTTTCATGGATTGAATTGTGTCCCCCCAGAATATCTCAACTTGGCTAGGTCATGATTCCCAGTATTATGTGACTGTCTACCATTTTTTCATCTGATGTGATTTCCCTATGTGTTGTAAATGCTATCACTATGATGTAAGGAGATGGATTAGTGGCAATTATATTGATGAGACCTACAAGATTAAATAGTGTCTTAAACCAATCTCTTTTGAGATATGAAAAAGAGAAGTGAGCAGAGAGACATGGGGACCCCATACCACCAAGAAAGCAGTGCCAGGAGCAGAGCTCATCCTTTGGACCTGAGGTTCCTGTGCTGAGATGCTCCCAGACCAAGAGAAGACTGATACATCACAAAGAACTTCCTCCAGAGCCAACAGAGAGAGAAAGCCTTCCCCTGAGGCCAGCGCCCTGAATTCAGACTAGTAGCCTACTGGACTGTGAGAGAATAAACTTGTCTTTGTTAAAGCCATCCACTTGTAGTATTTCTGTTATAGCAGCACTAGATAACTAAGACAGAATTTGGTATTGGGAGTGGGATGCTGCTCTAACAGATACCCAAAATGTAGATTGGTTTTGAAACTGAATGGAGTGAGGACTCAGAAGGAAGTGAGAACTGTTAACACTAGAGATGGCGCAGATGGTGAGAAGCAGCAGCAAATGGTCGGCAGCAGCAGAAGACTGGCAGCAGCAGAGAACTGGCAGCAGCAGAACCAGGAGACCAGTGCCACACAGTGCTGGAGCCAGACCCACAGAGCAAGAGAGCTGAGAGCCTTGGTGCAAGAGGTTTCTGGTGGAGTGGGTGCTTCTGGGCACTTATCAGTGGAGCTACAGAGCTTTGGAGCACTTGCCGAAGCAGAGCAGATGAGGGCATGAGGCCCAAGGAGCTGAGAGGCCAAGAAACCAGGAAGCAGAAGCTGAAGAGACAAGGAACACAGGAAGTCTACCTGCCTCAGTCTCAAAAGTTATGGCCACGACCTCTGGGATTTCAAAGTGTGGATCCATGGCCTCTGGTGTTTCTAAGGGTGGAGTCACCATTCAGATGGAATAGGAGAATGGTGCGCCTAAAGCCGAGGGAGCAGAGTTGCTATCCCAGTGGGCCTACAAGGCGGAACTGAAGCCCAGGGCCGAGGGACCTCCACTCAGAATCAAGGCAGTGTGGCTGATACCTAGAGTCTGAAGGGCAGGGCCATTGTGTAAATTGTCTCACATAACAGAGGATTATTTTCAAAGCCTTGAGGGCTAGTGTAATGTGTTCGACTGACTTGCTTGGAGCTTATTATTCCTTCTTTCCTTGCAATTTTTCCCATTTGTAGTGGAAATGTCTAGCTTGTGCCTGTTCTGCCATTGTAATTTGGAAGCAGATAACTTGTATTTTAGATTTCACAGATGAAGAAGAATTTTTAGATTTTTGGACTTGGAGTTGATTTAAGACTTTTTTTATGATACGATAGGGTGAATGTGTTTTACATGTGGCAAGGACATGAATTTTGGGGGGCCAAAGGGTGGAATGTCATGGATTGAATTGTGTCCCCCCAAAATATCTGTCAAATTGGCTAGGTCATGATTCTGAGTATTGTATGACTGTCTACCATTTTGTCATCTGATATGATTTCCCTATGTGTTATAAATGCTATCACTGTGATGTAATGAGATGGATTAGTGGCAATTATATTGATGAGATCTACAAGATTAGATAGTGTCTTAAGCCAATCTCTTTTGAGAAATAAAAGAGAGAAACGAGCAGAGAGCAATGGGGACCTCATACCACCAAGAAAGCAGTGACAGGAGCAGAGTAGGTAATTTGGACCAGAGGTTCCTGTGCAGAGAAGCTCCTAAACCAGAGGAAGATTGATGACAAGGATCTTCCTCCAGAGCCAACAGAGAGAGAAAGCCTTCCCCTGGAGCCGGTGCCCTAAATTTGGACTTGTAGCCTACTGGACTGTGAGCGAATAAACTTTTCTTTATTAAAGCCATCCACTTGTGGTATTTCTGTTACAGCAGCACTAGATGACCAAGACAGCACTTTCCCCAGGAGAGATTCAATTCTGTATTATGATGCATGGGAGAACTTGCCTATGTACTTGCAGCCTGTGTAATGTGTATACAGGTAGAGGAGGCAGCCAGTAGCCTGGCAAAGTGCATGGAAGTAAAGGAGCACCCTCCTTAGCTGCTTCTCTCAATACGTGCTCTATGGTAATGCTCCCTTTTCTGGGCCTCCTCTACACAGAGTTACCAGCTGCATCTCTAGAAAACTGGTACTAATCGCTGTTACTAAATAATTTACCAGTATACTAACACACTGTCCTTTTCACCTTGAGACAAGGAGAAAAGCCATTATGGAAGGGAAATGTAGGCAGCAAAGAAATAGTAAGAGGCTGAGAGGCCTAACGATAGGATAGAGGAGGGTCCCCATAGTGTGGGAGGGTTGTCAAGGGCATGGGTAATAGTGGGAAAACTGCTATCTCTTTCCCAAAGGGTCACACTGATCATTCCTTATGTCTGTTGTGTTATCTCAGAAGGCAGAGAAGAACATGGCTTTACAATGAATAAAAAGTGTGCTTTTTTCCTCTGTTGTCCAGAATGATGTTTTACAGGAAAGTTTATGTGCTGTGGAGGGGCTGCCACAAAAATATAACTTTTCACACTGCTGCAGTAAGAGGGACTTTGAAAGAAGACACTGTTTCCTCTATAACAAGAAAGTTGATGTAGGATTTCTACCGCCTTTCCCTATAGGGGACCCTGAAAAGAAATGCCAGGATTATCAACAGAAAAAAGACCTTTTTCTAAACAAGTAAGTTTAATTTTAGCATAAAAATTGTCTAATTGAAGAATTATTCTTAGACTAAACCCAACTGATATTACAAAGGAACATGGCTGAGTTGATTGATTGATTGATTCATTCATTCACAAGTATCATGTATCAGATTCTGTGCTCAGTGTTGAGGCTATCAAGAAGAATAGGATATGGACTCTGATTTCAAGATCCTTTCATTAATGATACATATTTCTAATGTGATAAGCCTTAGATGTGTGTGCACTGTGAGCAATTGCTAGGATGCACTGTGGAGGAAATACTATATTCTGCCCAAGGGGAAGGTGCAGCTTTTACTGAGGTAAACATTAAATTACTGGATGTTTAGCAAAAATCTATTTTTCAATTGTGCAGTCATTATAGAAGCAGAGATTTTTTTTTCCAGAAAGCTACTATACTCATTTGAACTCAGATCTCAAGTTTATTTGAACTTAAGTGAATATGACTCCTGCACCTGAAGGGCAGTGTGAAGCTGTGACTGAACGTGGAAGGGAGAGCTGCTGACCCCTGACAGCAGGGGAGGGCAGGAGAGTAGCCATATTTTAGTGTTCAGTGTTGAGGATTAGAACTGCAATTACATCTTTTACTTTGGCATCAGCAGCTCCAGTGATAAAGACTATTTTATTGGGGACTGGATAATGCTGCCTTCTTCCGAAGACTTCTATCATGACAAACCCTTTTTCCTCTTAGCTTCATTTTTACAACTTGCTCTTCTTATTTCTTCATATCTTTCCTTTCCCTTCCCTTTTCTTGACTTCCCTTGTTTACTATTCCTGTTCCTTCCCTTTTCCTCCTTCCCTTTTTTTTTAATTTTTTCTAGATATCTCTATGAAGTTGCCAGAAGGTACCCCTTTGTCTTTTCTCCTACACTTCTAACTGTTGCTGCTCGTTTTGAGGAAGTGGCTGAAACATGTTGTGAGGAGCAAGACATAGCCAGCTGCTTTCGAACAAGGGTGGGTATTGCATTTATTTCATTAAAAGATAAGGAGCACCTAACACCACAATCCTCACTTAATATTGAATAATAGCAAAGGGGTTGCTTACCACTTATGACATTCTCTTACCACTTTGCTAGTTTTCAACCCATTGGTCTCCAGTTGCTTATCTAAATGTTCTCATGACCAGAGACCCTTGAAAGACAGTTCCCCATTTCCAGGGTCTCTCTTCTGGCTTTGTCTTCCTCGTAAATTGGAAGATACACTAGTGAGTGACTAGCCAGGTGAAAGATGACCATTTAACTTGTATCCTAGTAAGTCCTCTTTTGGCTCCACATAAAATGGAATTATCCCAGAAGAGATGGCCGAGCTCATATCAGAGTGCCCCGAAATGAAGCTCATGCACCTTCCCACCAAATATAATTCAGTCATCAGGAAGACCGACCTACTCTTTATAATGTGCCACAAATTCATATTTTTTATGATATATAAATTTAGTGAGATAAAAATCTTCTGAGCAACTATTGGTATAGTTTGATATGTAGTTAAAAAAATAAGACAACAGCAGGGTTTTGCTTTTGCTTCAACAGAATTTTCTTTCTCCTTTAGGTGGCACCTGTCATACAATATTTAAAAAAAATGTCTGTTTATGAAAAAACTGTCTGTGGTGCATTTATAAGATTTGGACCAAAAGTCTTCAAATCTATGTGAGTTCTTTAGTATGTATCTTGCCTCTACTTAGTATTTTCTTGTCTATGTTCCATTTTTGTTTAATGGTTGATTGCTTTTTATGTATACTCTTTCTGGTTCCCCAGGGTTTTTGAGGTAGGTCTTAGTCTATGTGGATAGCTCAGAACCAGACATTAGGTCAGGATGAGAGAAGACCTGGAAGGTGGGAGACTCAAAGAGAAAAGGGGCTACTTCTGAGTTTTTTTTTTTTTTTTTTTTTTGGTTACTTGGGAATCTTAACAGGTCCAGGAGTTCCCAAGCAGAGTTCTAAGACCGTCAAGTAATTTAGACATGATTCATCCATCCTTCTCTGCCTTAATGACTAGTAGATAACCTTACAAAGATGAAGTTTATTTCTAGTGCTAACAACACCAATCAACTAGTCCTAGAGCAATATATTGAGAAAAGTTCTGAGACTTCAAATAGATCAGCAGAAAACAGTCCTGTGATTGATTATCTATGCCTGCCACTGGCTCAAAACAGGAAGCAGTGGCCCTTCCAGCTGTATTCTGCTATAATAATTATAGAAAAGAGCGTATCTCTCAGGCCTTTACCTGCTCTGACCCAAGGCCCTAGGTGTCCCATAATATCAGCATAGGATTTTAAAAGTGATCTTGCAGGCCATGTAGCATACACCAGCTATTTGGTAAAAACAGCTGTAAAAAGCAAGGGGCCATTGCTTTTTGCAGTTTATACTGTATTAGCAAAAACTCCATCTTGTCATACCTCTTGTTCAAACTGTTTTAGTGGTTTACCAATTCTCTTTCCAGATACTTTGCTGCATTAAGCCAAAAATTCCCCAAGATTGAATTTAAGGAACTTACCTCCCTCATAGAAGAGATTTTGTCCAACTACGATGAATGTTGTGAAGGGGATAGTGTGCGCTGCATTCGTAGCAGGGTAAATACTCTCTAAAGCCAAGTAAAAATCGTGATTTGGGCAGCCATTTTTATTTTTATTTTGAGATTGCCCTGATGTGTGGCTACTTTGCCTCAATGAAATCAGCATGTTAATAAATTGTCAAATGAAATTTGAGCTTTCTTAATAAATGGGATTTTTTTTTTTTTAGATTATTCAGCAGATGTGTTTTATATGGCTAAATGTCCTTGAAATAAAACTTCAGGAGTTTAGAATTTTAAAAATCCATTTTGGCCAGATTGAAGTTTTTTTCTTTTTTTACATGGCAAATCTTCTTTTAGAGATGTTAGAAATTAGTAGTAAAGCTCAGGGAATGGCTTGTTACTATTATGTTTTTAAGAGCTGCTTTCTCTGAGCTTCCTTAGGCTATTTAGGAACAGTCATTTCCGAATAAGTAGATATGTTTATTACAAATAATGTTTACTTTTAAAAGTGATTCTCTAAGGGCATATACTGTTAAATACATTGTTGGCCTAGTTTAAGTTGTCCGTACACTCAAAGGTAATACAATTTCATTAGAAATATCCTGACTTTTTCTTAGTTGAAATTTGACTTAATCTTAGTGACTTTTCATTAGTTTGACTGCTTTCAACTCACAGTGAAAACAGAATGTTAATTAAATAACTTGTATTTTAGGATATTGAGATATGTCCATTTTATTTCAAGCAGTGGACAACACATGTCCCGAGAGTTGTTTTGTCCCTAACTGCATCCCAATTAAAGCAATCTCACTCTGTATTTACTTCTGTATTGTTTTATTGTTTATGAGGATGTTGGTTTTACTGTACTAAATAGAATGTGTAGAATTAGAATATAACTGAAGATTTTCTGTGAAGTTTGAAACTGAGACTAAAGGATCATATTGTGTCCCAAATTAATGCCTTTATGGAGAAATAGGAGGAATTGAATTGCGGTTCATTCAAAATAGAAGTGAATTCTCAGAGACCAAGAGTTGCGTTGCCTAGGGCAGTGATAGTCTTTGGGGAGATATGTATGTGTTTACAAAGACTGACTCCCTGGTAATATGTGGTTTGTTGGGACATGGTGCCTAACCTCCACTCATTTCTCACCCCATCCTTGAGCTTCACTCCATTCCTCACCCACATGTTCACCAGTGAGATGAGAAGGGGATTGTAGGTCGGGGGAGCAGCTTGAGCAAAGTCAGGGAGGCTTGAGATAGCCTAGTGTATTGATGGAACTCAGCGTATTCAACTGAGACTGGAGCAGAGAGTAGGATGAATGTGTGGAGAGTGATCAGTCTGTGGAGGGGACCAGGGCCAGATCAGCTTTTCAAAAAAATTATTCAACTAATTTGTAAATAAAATTACCTCATTCTCCCTAATCCCCACAACTTCATGTGGAAGCCAGAATTGGGATGAAGAATAGAGATGGGGGAATAGAGAAAGGTTTCCTATTTTATACATTATTTGATGATTTGAACAGCTCCAAATAAATAATATCCATAGGAAAATGAGACAATTATTGGAATAGCTTCTTATATTTGAGAGTTGTTTATCTGGTGTTTGCTGTAGAGGTTCATTTGTTTACCATTCTTTAATTCAGTCACCAAATATTTATTGAGTGTCTACTATGTGCTTAGTATGTAGTTTCAAGCTGTAAGAGAGGAAATCCAGAATGAGGCATACTGCAGTAACGTGTCTTTGATGACCTCCACTGAAGGCACAGATGAACTCTTATGGGGAAAGAAACAATATTTAGGATATAAGATGCCAATATTTCAGAGTTCTGGGTAAAGCATTTAAAAAATCAATACGTTAACCAATGTCATAAAACAGCATGTGTGTTACTGTTACATGAGAAACTATCTGTTCTGTAAGCCTTCACCTGAAGTACAATAAAATATTTAAAAAAA